GCCAGGTCTGGCTTGGCTCTACAGATAGCCCAAGGGTCATCTAAGCTGTTAGTCACCTCCATTCCCAGCCTTCTGGGTGGAAAACAGGTTATATGACTCTTGGAAGAGACAACCCTGCGTTTTAACATTCCTGGTTTCCCTAGTGCTTCTCCAAAAGCATAAGGGCCTTTATATATAATGTAGTATTTTTTCCTGCCTTTCTTTTCTATGCATTCCTAGCCCTGTCTCCTCTCACCTCTCCTGCTCCATGCCTCTCCAGAAGGCTTTCTCCAAGTGTCAGTCAGTCAGCAGCTGGCCAGGGGGTTATCAATAGGGAAAGTTATTCATGGCAGCCATGAAATGGCGGGGACGTTTTTTTTGTTTGTTTGTTTTTTAAGACAGGGTTTCTCTGTGTAATGGCCTTAGCGGTCCCAGAATTCGCTCTGTAGACCAGGCTGGCCTCGAACTCACAGAGATTCCCCCTGCCTCTGCCTCCCGAGTGCTGGGATTAAAGATGTGTACCACCACTGCCTGGCATGGGGACAGTTTCTTATACAATCCAGTGTCTGCTCAGGGGTGAATGCATTCACTTACTCTTGAACAGTATTTAAGTTTTGTTTATTTTTAATTTAAACCCCATGATGGTACTGCCAACTGCCCTAGCGCTCACTAATCTGAGCTGTCTCCCCTCTTCACCTTGGCCTCTAAGCCATGTTCCAACCTTCTGGGGTTCCTTTGCTGCCCCAGGAAGGGGCTCTCCCTGACATTGACTTTCAACTCCTAGAGGAGTGTGCACTCCAAAAGCTTCCTGGAAGAGGTGCTTTTTATTTTTCTGGGACCGTCTATCACTGAAAATGCTTATGTTCTGTCTTCTTCTAGGCTGACCCTTTCCAGGAGCCAATTTCAGGCAGGAAATCTTTTTCTCACATTCTCAAGGCAGCTGACTGATCTGTGGTCACCCAGCTTCCAGTGTCCTTGAGACAATGCCAGGCTTTATACATTTTAAATCACTTGCCATGCTTCAAGAATGAAATTATAGAGACAGACTGGCGTGGTGGTGGATGTCTTTAGTCCCAGCATTCTGGAGACCCAGGCAGACAGATCTCTGAGTGTGAGGACAACCTGGTATACAAAACAAGTTCCAAACAAACAAATGGCTCCTCCTTTCCCTTCAGCTTGGTATTCTGCTTCTGGGACAGACCAGTATTTCTGATCCCTAGATTCTTCAGTGTTTTTCACTGGAGTTTTCCCAACTAGCTGCCCTCCACCCTGCCAAGCCAGAGTTCCTCTGTGTAGCCCTGGCTGTCCTGGAACTGGACAGGTTAGCCTTGAACTCAGAGATCCACCTGCCTCTTCCAAGAGCTGGGATTAAAGATGTGTACCACCTTACCTGGCCTGATTGCTCTTGTCCTGCCTCTCCAGCTTTACTCATCTGCTGCCTTTCTGCGTTTTGTGTCCTCCATGCCACCCTCTCCACACCCTCTCAGTGCAGCTAACATCACAATTTATTGGTTAGATTGGTGTATGTTACGCTATAGAACGTGTGTGCCCACCTGAGTTGCACTATGCTCGGTCTTTATTCCTTGGGCGATGTCTGACTTCTTTCAACTTGTCCCTCGGGATCCTCCTGCCTTCACCTCCTTCAGCAAATCCTTCCAGTGTGCACCACCACAACCAGTGGGATTTGTCTCTCTACTCATCTGTGTGTTCTCTTCCCTGGCTCCTCTAACTGGAACCTCAGTCATTCCATTCATTCCTCTGCCCTGGTTCCTTCTTTCCAAGCCCTCTCCTTGGGATGGCCTCCTATTTCTTGGGATTAATTTGCCCACATTCCTGTATACATGCGTGCTAGTAGGAAAACCCCACAAACCCAGGGGCTTCTAAACACTCAAGTACTCTGCCACTGAGACACAGTCTGAATTTCTATTTTTATATATTTCCAGAAATAGTCTTACCCTGTAGCCCAGACTGCCCAAGAACTTGCATTGATAATCTCCTGAGGGTTGGGATTATAAGTGTGAGGCATAACACCTGGTCCTAAATTCCTCTTTTTGGGGAAGGTGGCATGGGAGTTTTTTTTGTTTTTTGTTTTCTAAGACAGGGAACAGGGTCCTCATGTATCCCAGGCTGGCCTCAATGTAGTCCAGAACGATCTTGAACTTCAGATTCTGCAGTCTCCGTCTCCAGCGTGCTGGGATTGTAAGTGTGCAATACCATCAATGCATGCCAGTTTGTGTGGTGCTGGGAACTGAAGTCAGGGGCTTTGTGTGCCAGGCAAGTGCTCTACTTTACCGAGCCTCATCTCCAGCTTGGTGCGCGTGTGTGTGAGAGCGCTCAGTGGGTAAAGTTACTTGCTATCAGCCTGACCGAAATTCGATCCCGTGGACCTACGTTGTGGGAGAATCCACTCCTGCAAGCTCCTCTGATGTCCACACAGGTATGCATACTCAATAGATGTAATTGTTAGGCATTAACAATGTGTGAAAATGTCTTACTCTCCCTCATACTTCTGATCACATGGATATGAAAACAGGTTCCTTCAGCTGCGGATCCCGTTATCCTGGTGTCTTGTAGATCGTGGAGCTGGCTGGAGAATGCTGTCTTCCTTTTTGAGTGCTCTGCATGTATGCCTATGTGCCCCAAGAGGGCGCCAGATCTCATTACAAATGGTTGTGAGTCACCATGTGGGTGCTGGGAATTGGACTCCTCGGGACCTCTGGAAGAACAGTCTCAGCCTCTGAGCCATCTCTCCAGCCCTCATTCTGACTCGACCTTTGTATTTCCCCTCATTTCCCATTCCTCTGTTCCACTTCCAGGATCTCCTCAATCCCGATGCTTTGAAACTCTGCAACATGCCCAAGATGCTCTTCTCTTCTGTGCTGGCCTCTTTCTTTGGGATTCTGTGTCCACAAGTTCCAGATAGTTTTACTTTTCATGACACAACACTGACTATGGAGCAACAAATAAAGGACTGTGAAAAAGATGGCAGCCAACACCACCAACCCTAGTCCTTCCCTTATTACTAGAGATTTGCATCCCAGGTAGTACATATTAGGACCACTTGAGGCAACCTGAACACCTTTAGGCAAAGTGTTCTAGAACAGTTGTTTAACAGCTCATGTTGTAACCCCAATCACAGAATTTTCATTGCTACTTCATAACTGCAGTTTAGCTACCGCTGTGAAGCTAACAGAAAGGGTTTTTTTTTTTTTAATTTTATTACGCATACAATATTCTGTGTATATGCCTGCAGGCCAGAAGAGGGCACCAGGCCTCATTACAGATGGTTGCTGGGAATTGAACTCAGGACCTTTGGAAGAGCAGGCGATGCTCTTAACCACTGAGCCATCTCTCCAGCCCCCGGAAAGGGGTTTTCTGATGGTCTTAGGTGACCTCTGTGAAAGTTTTTTTTTTTTTAAATCCAAAGATGTCAAGACCCACAGGTTGAAAATGCTGCTCTAATGCCAGACACTTAGGGAGGGCTTGTCCCATACACATGGGTGTGTCTTCTTCCAGCTTGGTCTGATGCCAGGGAACAAGCCTGGCTAGAGCATCCCAGTCCTCCAGATTGGAATTATTCCCAGATTTTCAAGTGGCATTGGTCTGGGCAGGGGTTTGGGGGCTGCATTTCATGAACTTTTCAGGGCTGAGACCTTTGGGGCTGATCTGACCTTGCTGCCTTGGGACCTTGTTTTGCTGACACACGTTTTGGGCACCTGGGGTGCCAAGATGGAAGGCTTCATCACATCATGGTTTGGTGTTGGTCACTGCATCTTTGTCTTGTCATGTAGGTTTTCAGAGTTTCATGAACACAACTTCTAGTCTAGAACATTCACTAGTCTCGCCTCTCTCTGTTCCACCCCCTTTTCTGGGCAAGCAACACTTGCCTCATGATATGGCCTAGGGTTCCTTGAGTCTTCATGTGTGCTTTGAGAGTGTCCCACTCTGTAGGAGGCTGATGGTCATGGGGTCAACTTCTTTCTGGCCCAGCCTCACACAGGGCGGGGCATTAAGACCCGGGGTGTCAGAGGAGTTATCATGATCCACTGTTGCTATTTCAAACAGGAGGGGCCGGGAGGGCTGGGCCTAGAGCCAGCACAAGTCACATTAACAATTAAGGTCTTTGCCACTCTCATTCCACCCTCACTGCATGAAATATTCAGACACCGGAGGAGCTGGGTCTCCGATCTCTGCCGTGTGTGTGCGCATGTGTGAGGTCGCTAGTTGTAGAGCTGGGGCTTGAGGTAGCACCCGAGGCCTGGCATGCAGAGCATCTGGAAGCTGCAGGACTAGGTGTTAGGAGCAGCTGCCAGCTGTCACAGACATACATAGCAGGACTCAAAGGCTGCATCTGGAGCCTAGAACTTAACACCCAAGCAAACCCTGCAGTGGGACATTACCCTCTGAGCCTGACAGTCACTGCTACAATACTTAAGGCTGGGCCAGTTGATGTTTCCTCAGAGGAGGAGGGGTAGGGAGGGTAATTAGGTACCCCACCCCACCTGAGATTCCAGCCACTCCCTCCTGTACCTCCTTCCCATTGGTAACTGTCCAAGTTACTCCTGGCTTGGTTGGTTAGTACTAGAGTACCTACGGCGTTGGCTTCCTGAAGGGGCCGGTAATCTATGTAGCTATTCCTGCTGATTATTATTGCTGTTATGGTTGCTTCTCAGAGCCCCCAGGAAAGCATGGTGCTAACAAACTCACCATCTCCTCCACTCAGGTCCACTGCCTGTGCCTCCTTCCACCGCTCCACACCCAGGCACGTGCCTCTACCTTTAAACTGCTCTTCCGTGACTCACCCTGACCCTTGCTTCTGCTGCTTCATCCACTCGATGTGTCCCTCCCATCTCTGCCAATCACCCCTCAGCTTTCAGGGTTCAGCTTCCCCAGGAAAGCTTTTCTCAGGGCCCAGGAAGCTATGAGTGGTGTTTTTGCTTCGCTCGTTGGTGGTACTTATGTATTAGAGCACATGCATGTGTCTGGTAAACCACTGAATGAAAATGACCCTGGACAAAGTGTTTCCTTTCTGGGACTCAATTTTCTCCTTTTAAAACAAGGGCCTCAAACTCAATGGGACATGCACTGAGGAGTCAATCATTTGCTTAGAAAAGAGCTAGGGCTATCAGAGCTGGAGTCTGAGCTTAGAGCTGTAGGCCTGGTGAGGAATAAGAGCCCCTTACACTAGCAGTGTGCGTGGGACTGACAGCATCTCATTGTGTAGCCCTGGCTGATCTTAAACTTGCTATGTGGCTATAGTGGATTCTGAGTGTTCTAGGGGACACAGCACATTTGTCCTGGAGATCTCCTCTTGCTTTGGGATGCTAATTCAGTCCTGGGATCCTCTTCCCACCAAGCATGTGGAGCAAAGGAGAACAGCAAGTCTCTTTGAAACCACCCAGCAACACCAACACTAGCACCATCCCCAAGCTTTCCAGGGAGGTTGTCAAGGTCCTGGAGGAAGGCTTCCCAGCCAGTAGGGTATAGATGCTCTGAACCACTGCTTGGATAAAGGTTTCGTTTTTCTCAGCGGAAACTGTCATCCTGGAGAAACAGAAGACAGAGGAACATAGGAACACCACAAGGAGACAAATGGCTTCCACAAAGCCCAGGACAAATTGAAATGTCTCAGCAAGTTCCCTGGTGAGCTGAAGTGTCCCCCTGGGTGTGTGCTCTGCTCATTCCCCCACTCTCTCCCTGGAGCAACTTCCCAACCTAGTCTTTGCTCTGTGGGGAGCCTCTAGGGAGCCTACTAAATCTTGCTACAGATCTGCAGCTTCCCCAGGCACAAGCTGTTTTAAGTCCCTTCCTTTAAAGTCAAACTGTACTGGGCTGGACCTGCAGAACACTCAGCTGACTCACCCACACTGAGTGTGTGCGGCTGGCCTCAGCACCCCTGGGGCTCATTGTCTCCCCATCCTTTCTTCAGCTCATCTCCAAGTGCCGTGGTGTGTGTGTGTGTGTGTGTGTGTGTGTGTGTATGCGTGCATGTGCATGTGTGCATGTGTGCAAGAGGACAGGATCTAGCTCAACCTGTGTGGTTCCCAACCCTGACACAAGAGCCACTGTCTCTTAAGGTGATTCAAGACAGTCAAGACAGCTCTCCTGCTTCAGGTCACACCTGGGTTTGCCCTTTGACCTCAGACCTCATGTTTCACCCTTCTTTTTCTTCGATTGAGACAGAATCTCATTCTGTAGCCCAGACTTGCCTGGAATTCCCAGAGATTACCCCAGCCTCTGCCTTCAAGTTCTAGGATTGGTGACCTGCACCACCCATGGCTCTTTCTCTCTTCCTTCCTTCCTTCCTCTCTCTCTCCTTCTCTCTCTCTTTCTTTCTTTCTTCCTTTTTCTCTCTCTCTCCTTTCTTCCTTTCTCTCTCTCTCTTCCTTCCTTCCTTTCTCTCTCTCTCTTCCTTCCTTCCTTCCTTTCTCTCTCTCCTTTCTTCCTTCCTTCCTTTTCCTCTCTCTATCTTTCTTCAAATACTATTACATTTATTTATTTGTGTGTGAGGGTTTATGCATGCTATGGCCCACGTATGGGGGTCAGAGGACAACTTGAGGGAGTAAGGTCTTCCCTGCCGTCACGTGGGTACTGGGAGTCAATTCAGGTTGTCAGACTGGGTATCAGGTTCTTTTACCTACTGAGTCACCTTGCGGATCCCTCCTCTCTTTTGAACCGTCCGCTAACAGGCTAAGCCCTAAGGCCACTCCACTAGCTGTTCCTTCCACCTGAACAGCCTACGCCCCTTACCTTTGTCCTCGTTGCTCAGGCTCAGATCCAAGCTCCCACATCCTAGTCCCTCCCAGAGACTACGGGAACTGATTTCCCTGCATTGCGCTGCAGACAGCCTCACAGTATCTTCTCATGTTCTACTGTCCCTTCTCCCAAGAACGCTAAGTACCCTCAGAGGGCAGTGGTCTCTGTAGTCTTGTCCGGGTAGAATTCCCCCACGCTGGGGAAGGTGTGAGAGGATACACGCAGTGGTTCAGTAAACGGCTGAGTAACTGTAAAATGGGACGTCAGCTGCTGCGCGGGCACGCGCTCCCGGCCCTGGGTAGCTTACCCCGGTGTGCGGACGCCCGGGGTGGGTTATCTCCTGGCAGGTCCACGGAAAACGCACCCTTCCCTCGGTCTGCCGACTGCAGAAGCGCCGTAAATGCGCTTTGGGGACTGGACTTACAGGCTGTAGGAAGATCTGAATTCCCTGCAATGATGCGGGCGGGGGAAGGTCCTCCAGTTGCTGTGCGCCTCTGGACCCCAGCTTTATGGCCGGGGTGGAAGACCTTCCCCTCGGCTTTCACAAGGGTTTCCACCTAGCGAACCAAAGACGTTCCTCCAATCCCAGGGATTTAGTGGTTGAGTGTGCGAAGGGGCAGGGCTCTGAGAGCCGCTCCAGGAAATGGGCAGGTCCCCGGCCCCCTTGCCTTATCAGACCTGGGGAAGAGGGGAGAGCTCTGGCCCTGAGAAAAGACTGGCAAGACCCTACAGTCCTTAGCTAGGAGCGGAAAGACAGTTCCGCTGAGAGTTTAGGCAGGGGAACCCAGGTAGAGATTGGAGCGGAGGAGGTCGGTGGCCCTGAAAGGGACAAAGAGCAGCTCTGTCCGACCCCCTACATCAGGGTCCTATTGTTCCTCCTCTCTCGGACTATACCGAAGTCTGGTGCTCCCGAGAAAAATTAAAGAAGCTGCGCCCACCCGGTGGACATTTGTTTATTAAGAATGAGAAAAGGAGGGTAGGGGTTGCGGGTCTGATGGGGGGGGACCTCTCATTTTCGCGCGTCTCCTTTAAGGGAAGCCCTGCCCTACCTTTCCCACCGGTCCCCGCCACCCCCCAGCCCTACCTGCATTTCAAAACCGCCTTGTAGTCCTGGGATTGGCCCAGGCCGCGTCCTCCGGGCGCAGAAACTTGAAC